ACTGCTGCCCACTGGCACTGGGAACCCCCAGGCACAGCTGCTCGCTGCTGTAACAGTAACAGCCACACTCACTGGGCCAGCCGAGCAGACCGTCTTCCAGCCTCAGGTGTTCCTTGACTGGTTTTGACCTAGCATTTAATAAATGGCAACAGTCAGTCTACCTGGAGCAGACCTAATTTAAAAGAAATAATTTTAATTTTTTATCAAAGAGCAACAAATGACATGTACAAAATGAAATCAGCTATTTTTTTTTACATCTAATGTACTTTTACATAAATAGCCTCAAAGATTACTGTGTATGGTATGCGTTCATATCCTTTAAATATTCTTATCTACCCTGATCCACATTTTCAATCGAAAATCAATTCTCCTTTTTCATAGTTCAAGTCTTCCTCCATAGTTTGCTTTCAGATTGAGTCTTGAGCCTGTCTGAGACTTTACTGGGCACTCCTACCACATAATTTCATGTAGGTAACTCAGTGGAGGTGCCTCTACGTGTAGGTGTTACACAGCACCGAATCTGAAAACTGCATAATTTGTTAATTCACAATTGGAAATCGGGGGCTAATGCTCAATATGAGTATTTTGCACCACTTTTTACTCTTTGACCCAATGACCACCTAAGTCTTTTATGTATCTTTCTATACTTTGGTTTTGGTGAGACCTTGTCTATTGCCTGTGCTAGATTATGTTCCCTATGTGATTAATTTGTGTGATCTTAAAGTTATCTTACTGTTTTTGTTTAGATTATACTTAGGCGGGGGAATCTTTTTATTTACCTGATTGGAGGATCCTTCATGCAACGTAGATTTTAACCCTGAGTCTAGATGAAGAGAGACCACAACTGAAATGCAAAGAAATGAACCAATTAGTGTAGGTGGGCCTGACTCAAGGGACATTTTCTAGAGCCATAAGGAATGTACACAACGTTTGCCTGCCCACCTTCCCTGGTAAGATCTGGAGTAGGATCAGATACGGGGAGGTCAGACTCAACACACTGCTGTGGTATAGTGGCTGAGGAACCCAAAATAGCCAGGACGTACGTGAAAAACTATATGTATGGTGGAACTTCAGACTCCAAAGCCTTAAAGTAATGACTGTAAAAGTTGTAAATGTTGCATTGTAATTTGGATGTCACCATTAAAAGATTGTATGGCTTCAGTAATCAATAAACTCTGCGAATTAGTGTATCAGCTGTCAGTCTTGGCTTGAACACCAACTAGTGAATCCATCAAGGAAAGTCTAGTGTTGTAGATGGTGTTGATTTGAATAGCATTTGTTCTGTCATTCCTATTACCTGTAGGCAGAGAGGTCTCATTTAGATCCAGAAAACAAGGAGATATATATGATTAAAGGGTTTTAACTTGTTTGTAAATAAATGTGCAAAGTTGTGGGTGATTTTATGGGAGTAATAGGTATGATTATTTATATAACATGGAAGAAATAAAAATAGTATAATGGAAATGGGAGGTTAATTAACATCTCTCTTCCTGTTTCAGAAAATGTAGCTACCCCTTGGTTCTTAAGGAATTGCTGCTCTGTGGCCCCCAGTAGACAGCCTTGGCACTCTGCCTGTCTGCTTAGAGGTCTGAACAGGAGGCAGCCAGGCAGGTGGGAGGGACAGGCCTTGGTAACCTTTGCCCTGGCTGCTGCTGGCAGCCCAGCTCACCACACTGCTTACTCCTTTGTAAGATGTCTGGGAGCCATTGAGCCCAGGTCCATTCATCCGGAAAGAACAGTTGAAAGTAATGTTTGTGTGGCAGTGGAAAGTGCAGCAGAAGGTGGCAACAAAATGTCTGCCCTGGATGGCACCTCGGAAAGCACCAGGCTGTCACTGAAGGGAGTCTTAGCTCCATAGAAACCTCTAGATAGGTAGTTTTAGGAATTACAACAGGTGGCCCAGCAGCCACTCTCCCCTGTCTCCTTAGCCTTACCCTGAAAGCCTTGTCAAAATGCTGTGCCATTGTCCTCTAAACCCCTGGAGCCCCCTTTCCTCTATGCCCCAGCAGCCCTGTCCGGCCCAGTGCCAGCAGCAGCAGTGGCAGCAGGTGCTCGGTACCTGTCTTATGACACAGTCATTCTACTTCCTGTGACAAGTGTTCAGGAGTGTGAGTCTCAGCCGCAGAGCCAGCCTTGAGTGCCCAAAGGAGGAGCTCAGTGTACAACTGTGAATCCACAGTCTCCTCTGCAATGGCACCTGAGGGATTATAAGAAGGCATTGTGGCACCCAACCAGGGTGCCACAAGCTTGCAAGCCTCCTGCTTTATATAGGAATAGGAGACCTCTTGGTTTTGTATGGGTCATCTTGAATTCAGACACTGTTTTGCTCGTTCTGACAAATCTGCTGGGCGTGGGGTGCTTGGCATGCTCAGTAGAGAACAGTGCTTACCCTGGCAAGAAGTGCGTACTCCCTACTGAATAAATGCAGAGTGGAAAGCCCCTGAGCCTGTTTCTTACACACACTCCGAGTTCATGAAGAAAGGAGTGGTTAGTTCTGCCTGGTGGCTCATTCAGGTCAGCATTTCTTAGGTCAGGGTCCAGGTCTCTCAGGATGGATTGACTCCGAGTTCATGAAGAAAGGAGTGGTTAGTTCTGCCTGGTGGCTCATTCAGGTCAGCATTTCTCAGGTCAGGGTCCAGGTCTCCCAGGATGGATTGCAGAGAACCTCAAAAGTCAAGTGACATAGCTTTCAGTACCTGGCTAGTGGTTTCAGAATCAAACTGAATTATAGGAGTGAGATACGTGAGAGTCCTTTGCTTCCCTTTGCATTTCAAGAGCTTCTGTACCACTTAGTCCTTCAGATAGCAGTGAGATATACTTGGATTTTTTTAATGCCTTTCATATGATAGAACACTTAGCAAAAACCTGAGATCGGTTCATTTGGAATAAAAGTTAATAAAACATATACAATTAAAATGTTTATAAATGGAAATTCATCTGTAGATAGTGCTCATAAGATTCAATCCTAATATTTCCACATCGAATTATTCAACAGATATTTCTTGAATGCCTGGTATGTGCCGGCCTTGCTCTGGGAATTAGGTATTCGGCTTCTGGCTCTTGTCAGCTCTTCTACAGACCTTTGACCAGCAAGCAGGACGCAGAAGCTGGGTGCGGGGGATGATCTGGCAGCACTCTTTTCAGTGATATTTACCAAGCGTTTAGAAACCAAATATTGAATGGCAGAATGAAGCCAAGGAATGAGATGACTTCAGGATAATCCAGTCAGAACTGCACTTTGAAGAGACAGGGCCCAAACTCCTTCCTGAGTCATCCAGATTGTCTAGGGCAGTGGTGGTGAACCTGTGGCACGAGTGTGAGGCGAGCTTTCTGTTCCAGGGAAAGCTCTAAAAGGTTCAGTGGTCTAAAACATTATGCTCTGAGCCCTCTTCACTTAGATTGTCATGTGCTGGGCATTTTGAAAACAAAAATAATAATTCTTATTTTCCAGGAGAGAAATTAATCCCAACCCTCACATTTCTCATGTGATTTGGGAAATCTAAATGTCATGTTTGTAAAATGACAAATATGCCATCTGAGAATGAGCTTTGATGGATTACACAGCTGATGAAAGTGAAGCATTCTGCTGACTTTTTTTCTAATAAAAGCTACCAGTTATATTTCTTCATAGTAAGCTATTAAAGTTACCATGTCATAAGGTCAGGTGTGGTGGTGCACACCTGTAATCCCAGCACTTGGGAGGCTGAGGCAGGAGGATAACTGAGTTCAAGGCCGGCCTGGGCTACAAAGTCAGCTCAAGGCCAGCCTGAACTGTGTAGTGAAAGCCTGTCTCAAAAAGACCAAACAAGTAAATAAAAATAAAAATTAGGTTATAACCAAAGTCAATGACTTAGTAGGTCAGTTATATTAGAACTAATAAAATTTTACTTATTTCATGAGAATTTTTCAATGCTGGTGTATGCCAGGTCCTACAGATACAGGACACCCTGCATGCAGTAAACATAGTCACGTGCTCTGCCAGATGAGCAGCGGCAGTGTGTGTGACTGCCTCCATGGCAGTCGAGTTAGGAAAGGCTTTGTCTCAAAAAGAAAAGGCAAGCAAGTCATAAACATCGTAGTGTGCTGCTGGAAAGTGTGTTATGTGTCTGGACTGGTGTCTGTACAATGGTGGCCAAGTTGGAAGGCACTTGTAGGCCTTCCGACCCCATATTTCTGTCCGGGATTTCCAGATGCAGTGTGGCTAGTGCACTGGTCTTCAGAGGTGCTCCAGGGCATAGCTTCAGCATTTCTCCCCAAAAGTAAAAGTGGAGAGTGGGTCGAATTCCCTGAGGAACGCCATCACATTTATGTATTTTCTATGACAGTTTACTTAAGTTTCCATTGGGGATAAAGTGGTTCCATAGATGAGACCTCTGGTACAGAAACCACAGAAGGCCTATGGGCTAGTCCCATATTTGGGACTTAAAGAGGTTAAAGTTCTTGATATATGAGAAAATAATCGGGGGCTGGGGATTTAGCTTAGCGGCATAAGCGGCCTGCCTCGCAAGCAGGCAGTTGTGAGTTTGATCCCTGGTACCGATTAAAAAAAAAAAAAAAGAAAATCCGAAAATAATCTGTAAGCAGTAATGCACTAGACCATAATTTATCAGGTCATTTTTATCATGATCTCTTTGGGCCTTAACTCCTTCTGTTAAAAAGAGAGTGTTTCATATAGAATGCTAAGTCCCCTGAGCTATAGTATTTTATGACTACCTGACCTTGTTAGCTGTTTATAAGAACGGGAATGCTTTTACAGAGTACTCTTCTCCATTGCTTTTGATTGATAAGACAGTGCTGAAATTAAAACATTTCGTTTCATGAATTAAAATAGTTACTTGTTTTATAAATTGCAAATCCATGCAATTTAGGCATGCAAACTGAGACTGTGTTATATCTGTATAATATGGATGTTTCAATAGCAGGCATTTTTGTTGTACTGATTCCCAAAGTCAGATGCTTCAAATCTTGCTTTTAATAAAATATTTCTGTTCTTTTGGTAGCCAGAAGTGCAACTTGCTGAAGGCTTTGACGTGTTTATGCCTAAATCTCAGCTGGACTCTATACTATCAAACTACACTCGCTCAGGAAGCCTTCTGTTTAGAAAACTGGTGTGTGCGTTTTTTGATGACAAGACTTTGGCTAATTCCTTACCCAATGGGAAGAGGAAAAGAGGACTGAATGACAACCGGAAAGGACTAGACCAAAATATTGTGGGTGCAATAAAAGGTTGGTCTGCATCATTTCATTTTATGGGTTCTTTGTTGAGTTTTGCCTTCAAGTCCATAATGATGCAGGTGGATTAAAATTAGGGGCTACTCTAATTGACCATGGGCAGCTTATCCCTTGGCTTGGTTCTTGGAGTGATCTCTGTAGCTAACTATCCACCCTAGCCACCTCCACTACAATTTGGTATTGTAAGCTGATGTGCTGTTTATTTGTTGAAATAATAATTTAGGGGCCAATTTGAATGACTACAGAACCAAAAAAGCTTTTTTTTTCTTATTTGGCTTTTTAAATTAAAGTGTTTTTCTTTGTAATAATTTCAAAGGACTTCATCAAAATAAGATTTAACATAAAGTTTTAGGGCCAGATGTGGTGGCACATGGCTGTAATCTCAGCCCCTACGAGGATAAGGACAAAGGACCCAGCTTGGACAACTTCAAGACTTAGCTAGGCTCTGTCTCAAAATTAACAATAACAAAAAAGACTGGTATATAGTTTAGTAGACTCCCCCAAAACAAAACAAAAACCTTAAATTCTTGGATATAAACAAGAATAAAGTTACAATTTTTTTCCCCAAAGTAGAATAGTTCTGTCCAAAATTCAGAAGCTGCCATACCGGGTCCTTGCATTTGGAGACATTTTCTATCTGTGAACCCCCACACACTCCTAACCACCCTGCTGGGTCCACTCTGGGGGCATGCAGTCCTTCCAGAGCATGCAAGGCTGCCGTTACCTGCTTCAGCACTGTGACACATGCTGTGCGCAGTATTAGGGGTGACCATGCTGGTGCCAGTGCATCTGTCTTTGGTCCACATCCTGGACCTGGTTCCTCATCTGACAGTGTCGTTAGTTATCAAATTCTGATGCACATAATTTTAGAAGACAGAAGGATTTAAATGTTATTATAAAAAAGAATATTAAAAGGCTCCAATGGAAACACCACTATCATGAAAATGTAATTGTAAATCTGGCCTTTAAAACTAGAATGACTGAAAAGGTCGTTCTTGGTATCAGTTGCTCCTTGTGAGCCAGGGGCAGGACTGGCTCCAGAGTCTTCCTCCTCCTCTGTTCCCCATTATCTTGCAAACTGAGTAAATGAATTTAATTGTGCTTAAAGGGTACTTGGAAACTCACAATTAATTTTACAAAGTAATTCAGGTTTTAAATGGTGTTAGCCAGTGCCAGGCACCCTTTGCTCATGTAAGCCTTCATTAACAGGAAATTTCTTGTCACCGTCAGAATTTTTTCACTTCAAGAGACATTTGAGTTGTGCTAAGTAAGAAAAGTTGCAGCGAGACCACAGCTTTGCCAATTATAAAAAGATTGAGCCTGGAATGATGCTGATAATAAGGTTACAGAATTTGAGAAATGGGCAGTGACACAGTCAGCCCCTGCTGCATCTCCAGGCGAGGCCTTCTCAAAACAGAAAGGTGCAGGCTGCTGCTGCATTTCAGGAACACAGAGAGGAATTATTTTAGTTTTCCTTTTGTTTCTTCAGGACAACACATTAACATGATGAAAGCATTTGAAGACAGGAATTAAATGATCAGGTTACATGCTACTGATGAGCAGTTACCTTAGTAGTGGATGTAATGAAGCAAATCATTTACCTATGGATTGACAGAGGTTTATTCTACCGTTCTCCATCTGAGCTGGGCATCATATGAGAATCTGAAAAGGTACATTACATAGCCGGCATGATGCCACACACCTGTCACCCAGCACCCTGGGAAGCCGATTCAGGACAGCAGGCTCAAGCCCCGCCTGGGAAACTCAGTGACTTTCTGAGATCCTTCCTCAGAATTAAAACAATAAGAATTTAAATATTTGTTATAGACTGGGGATATAGCTCAGTGCTAAGGCCCTGGGTTCAACGCCCAGAACCATAAAAAGAAAGAAGCAAATTAGAAATAGCACATGTACCTTATTTCCACAACCCTACTCACTGGCTAGAAATAAAGACAACAAAGTATATAATAAGTCAGATTATTCAAATCAAAGATCTCAGATTTCTATATCCCTCTTTTAGTGTTGAATTAAATCTGTTGTTTAAATTCTACTAGAAAAACACAGTAACTTGAAAAAAGGCCAAATGTACTTGTGAACTACCAGTAACCTAAAACAAGCATTATCTATTCAGTGTTCCCTTGCAGTGTTTATTCATAGACAGATTATTTTGATTTTTCTTTCTCTCCCTGATTACAAAAATTATATGTGTTTGAGCACCTCCTTGGCAAACACAAGGTCATGAGTTTGATCTCTGGCACCAAAAAAAAAAAAAAAAAAAAAAAAAAAAAAAAAAAAATTTGTGTTTGTAAAAACCTAAATCATAAACAATGTACAGAAAACTAAAAGATCTCTACAGTCTCACACTTTGGAGGTCGCTGTGACCGCTCCTAGAGTCTGTACATAGCACCAGCATTTTTACCAACTCACTCAGATAATTTCTTAAGATCTTTCTTGAAAACAAGCCTCATCTTAAATATTTTGTGTTACCTGTTGCACTTGAAGGAGCTTAGGAAATACCACCTCAAAATATGCCGAGTTGGGGAGCAGTACGTGCAGGATGGGGTGTTCTCTGAACTCCCCTTATCTGCTTTCGTCTGCTCTTGGGTATTTGTGACCTGGACCTCCTCTCCAGTCACAGGAGAGGGCTGGAGGTCACTACATGCCCAGAGACAGTCACAGGCTGGCGTTTGTTGCTTGGGCCAGGTTTTCACTCCCAGAATCGTTCCTCATCCCTGTGAAGAAGGTGTGTAAGTATCCACATCTCGCTGAATTCAGGGTTATTTCTTGTGTTTTCCGTCCACATAGTTAACTTGTATATTTTCATCCTATTAGTCTGCCCATTGACAATTTATGTTCGTAGTTGAAATAAACGTTTATTGAGACAGACTCAAGCACTGAACCTTCACAGGGTAGAGAAAATTTTCACTTCCCTCTATTCTTTGCCAGGAGCTGAACAGAGCAGGGTTCTATAAATGCAGGAGAGATGAATCTGGAGGCAAAGGAGTTTGCTTCTCATCTGACTTTGGCTTTATCTCAGCGACATGAGCTGGTGCTCACATCCAGCCTCGTGTTGTTTCATGACTAATTTGGGATGAGCAGCAGCAAAGCATTGTTGTAAGTTTCTACCACTCAATAAATTGCCAATGAAAATAAAAAAGGAGAAACTGAAATTGAGTATAAATTTGAATGCAACTCTCTTAACTCTGTTAATGTATTAACAACATTTTGTTTTACTTCTCTAGCTAAAGTTTTTTTTATACCCATATACTGTGTTACAATATAAAGGGATTTTTAGAAGTAATCATTAATTGAAGGTCTTATAGAATAACTGTATCTGGTTTTTCTTGTTATCAGTAGAGAGAAAAAAAGATGTTATTTTCCTAGCCCACATTTTTTGAATCTGAGTAATCTGGAGAAGAGATAAAATGGTTCCTCTCTACGTAGAAGTGCCAAAGCAGTTCATGTTGCTGCTGCAGTTTCCTATAAACAGAGGAATGATTTAGTGAACACGGATGGTCATCCCCTCTTACTCTGTTCCTTAGAGAAAGTGCACCAATCATGTATTAATTTGAAAACTTAATACAGAAGAAGCAGATAACTAGTTAGTTTTATAAAACCTCACATGTTAAAACAACAGTTGGGGTTTGATTTTTTTCCAAACAAAGGTTACTAGATTGATTAAAACAACAGTGGGGAAAAGATGAATTAAAATCTGTAAAATGTTGATAAATAAGAACAGAAGTGCACTGGAAAAAAAAACAAACTTTACTGGGTGATTGTTAACAAAGCTTTTTATAGTGACAATACTGTATTCCCATGACAGTATCTTGAAAGTAAAATTAAGCCTCGTTTTAGAGATCATATTTTTCACATAATCTTATCTGTTTTATAGTGACTAACAATTAATGGTATTTCACGAAAGATTCATTGATAAGTAAGTCCAAAGGTATTACTGATGAGAGGATCTTTAATTACACAGTCCTGTACCTGGAGACTAGGTTGAACTCTGGGAAGAAGCACCTTATTAAGTAGAGTCTTAGTGCTGAGTAAAGCTTAGAGTGTTGGATTGGATTAGAATTTGTAGCCAGAACCCAGACTGCAGGTTATTATCCAACATATGCCCCTCACACTATGCTGGGCTACTGGAGCTGTAACTGCCCCACCGTCTCGTTTCTTCTATGATCTAATCATGGACTATGCTGTTTGGCTTAGAGTTACTTTTGGATTTCTGGGTGCTCTTCAGACATGTAGACATGTAGTTGCAATAAAGCAACTTTTTTTTCTTTTTATTTTGTTATCACAGGGAGTTCTGTCTGACCTTGAACTCTCTTTGCAGCCCAAGCTGGCCTCAGACTCACAGCAATCCTCCTGCCTCAACCTCCCAAGTGCTGGAATTACAGGCATGTACCACCATGCTGGGCAGTATAGCAACCTTTTGGAACCCCAGTTAGAAATTTTTTGAGGAGCATCACTGGGGATTAAACCCAGGGCCTGCTCATCCCCAGCCCACTTTTAATTTGTATTTTGGGACAAAGTCTTGGCAAGTTACCCAAGATGGGCTTGAATATGCAGTGCCCTGACTTAACTTCCAAGGATACTAGATTTACAGGCGTGTGTCATCACACCTAGCTTGGAGTCCATATTGTTATAGTACCTGCTTTTTCCATTATTTGCATATCATAATTCACTTCTTGGAATTTAATTTATACATGTAAATAGCTGTTTCCTATTTGATTTGATTTAAAACAAATGAGGTACAGTTTATGTCTGAGTCACTGCTTATTTCTTAACAGTAACTCCTCTGTGTTCTTAGACCTCCCCATGAGAGCAAGGGCTTGAAGGATCAACTCTGATGTGAATTCTTCCTCGGGGCTTGGTTTTATTTCCACTTGCAGAAGAGGACAGTGAGAAATGAGAAATTAAGTAAACTTGCTTAGCTTAGATGACTTATAAGTGGTAGACTCAAGCTTTAATCCAGAGCCATTTCCTAACAC